TTTGGAGAGGTTTTCGCTATAGGGCACGTGCGCTCGCCAGACAGACAGAGAGAGACAGAGAGACAGAAAGCGAGACATCACCCCCCAGGGGGGATGGTCACGCCGCAATCCCTTCTCCTCCATTCTCCTCTCGGGATCTTGGGCACGCACGCACACGCGCCCGGTGTGAGTTTTAAGCCACCGGGTCCGGGACGCGAACCGCGGTCGACTACGTGGGAGTCCAGCGACATAGCCATTACGCTAACTGCTGGTTTCCTATTCGTTTATTTTCATTTGACCAGAGAGAGACAGAGAGAAAGAGAGAAAGAGAGAAAGCAAACCACCAGGTCCAGGACTCGAACCGTGGTTAGCCATGTGGGAGCGTCCAGCGCCTTAACCACCACGCCACCTGCAGGTCCCTGTCTCAGTCTGTTTCTCACTGGGTCACAGAATAGGATCTGGGGTCAAATCCAAAATCCCCCGAACTCTCCGGAATGGGAAGGACCCGGAAATTCCCTGCCTGGAATGACCCTGGCAGCTGGACGTTCAGTCTGGCGCCGGGTTTCAGTCCTGAGTCTGCGATTTGTCACCAGGTCACTCCAGCCAAGTGATTCCTGCTCATCCTCAATCTCCCTGTGGCACCCGCTGTGACCTGCCTAGGATTATGGGGGATGTGGATTCGAACCCAGCCAGCCTCTCCCCACTTTCATTTCTACCCCCTGCAGAACCTTGATCTGTTCACAAGACACCCAGTCCCCCCACTTCCATAAAAGTCCTCCCCAGCCTGCCTGGAGCTCCCACCAAAATAAGAGTCCGTCTTACCCAAAAATGCTCCCCAAAATACGACATCCTGCTGGTCTCTGTGAAGACACCCCTGTAGGCCTCAATCCAGCACCTATTTAAATAAAAAGACAAGTTTAAGCCTCAGGTTCACAGCCAGTTCAGGCCTGAGAGGGGAAATTCCGATGGCCCTCCCTGTGGAGGAGGGAGAGGGAGGATAAAGGAGGAACTGAAACCCCAAAGCTGGGAACGTGCCAAGGTGGCTGAAGTCATTTATCCTTGGCTCTGACCCCATGAATCCCCCAAGTGAGGAGGGACAGAACTGGACACAGCTGCCCGATGTCCCAGGGAGTGAAAGCCAGACTGGATTCTGGGACAGAAGCTGAGAAAGTCCAGGTTAGAGGAGAGGGCATGGGAGTTGGGGTTTTGAAGGGTGTATAGGAGTTTGTGGACAGGGATGGGAGCAATGTTAGTTGAGTCCCGGCCTAGGAAGAAAACTCTGGGCCATTTTACTGATGCAAAAACTGACCCCCACCTGCCACTTGGGGAGGAGAAGCCACTTGTCACAAAGTAACAATGGATTTGCAGCCTGGGTTGGCTAAATCCAGACCCTAGCGCTCAGCTGGATGCTGGACAGCTCCTATCGGAAAAGGGTCTGGTGAGAGATGGATGCAGTCATGTGGGAATTGGGGTCTCTCAAGGCCCCTTGGGGGGGGGTCCCCACCTCACACACATTCATAGAACGCAGAGCTCACCCCTCACCGTGGGGACCCCACAAGTCCTAGCCTCGTCCTCGGCAGGAGGTATTCACCTGGTGTCTGAGTCACTGTCCGGCTCCGTGCCTCAGTGTCCCCATCTGCAGAACAAGAAGGAATGCTCAGAACGGGTCTTGCTGGGACCAGCAGTTAGCGTCATGGCTATGTCACTGGACTCCCATGTAATCGACCGCGGTTCGAGTCCCAGACCCGGTAGCTTAAACTCATGCCGGACGCGTGTGCGTGCGTGCCCAAGATCCCGAGAGGAGAATGGAGAAGAAGGGATTGCGGCGTGGCCATTCCCCCTGGGGGGTGATTTCTCACTTTCTGTCTCTCTGTCTCTCTCTGTCTTTCTGGCGAGCGCACGTGCCCTATAGCAAAAAACCTCTGAAAAAAAAAAAAAGAGAGAGAGAGAAAAAGAACGGGTCTTGCTGAAGGACCCTCTCTCTCTGCACAGGGGGCTGGGCCAGGCCACCCCGTGGGGAAGGTTCAGATGGTGTCCTTGGAATGTGCTCCAGGCCAGCCTGTCACTGGAGCCCGCAGGTCTCATTCATAATTCATGACCCTGCAGGCAGCTCAGCGGCAGCTGGGAGCCTGGGAGGCACAGGGGTAGCGAGACAGACTGACAGGGTGACCGGGTGACCGCGGGAGGGAGACACCCAATGGGCCTCACCAGGAACCAACCCCACAGGAGCCCTCGGGTTACCCAATCTCAAAGTGCGTTTAATTGGACCGATTATCATCCGTCCCGGCTAGAATCCCTGAGATGACCCAGTCTAAGGCCTAAATGCCCCAGAACCCCCAGTCAGGAGGGCCGAACTGGTCCCACGTGGTCAGACGTGCGTTGGATGGAGGGGTAAGAGCTGGGGGAGGCTGGAACAAAGAGGGGCATGGGAACTGGGGTTCTGAAACATGTGTAGGAGTTCAGGAGGCAAAACCTTCTCATCTCTTCTCCTCTCAGGACTTTGGGCACACACACACATGCACCTGACATGATTTTTAAGCCACCAGGTCCGGGACTCAAACCGTGGTCAGCCATGTGGGAGTCCAGTGCCTTCACCTCTATGCCACCTGCTGGTCCCTGACCCGTTATTTTATTAATTAGAGACATGGTTGCTATAGGGCTCGTGTACTTGCCAGAGAGACAGAAGGACAGAAAGTGAGAATTCCCCACCAGGGGGGAAGGCCACGCCGCAATCCCTTCTCCTCCATTCTCCTCGCGGGATCTTGGGCACGCACGCACACGCACCCGGCGTGAGTTTAAGCCACCGGGTCCGGGACTCGAACCATAGTAAACCATATGGGAATCCAGCGACATAAGCATTCCACCCTCTGCTGGTCCCTTATTTTATTGATCTTTTTAAAGACTTATTTAGTTTCATTTACTATTTTTATTTTCTTATAAGCCACCAGAAAGAGGCAGTGAGAGAGAGAGAGACAGAGAGTGTGAAAGTGAGAAAGCAAGCCGCCAGATCCGGGACTCAAACCTTCATGCCACCTGCTGGCTCCCGGCCCTTCTTTTTTTTTTTTTTTTTTTTGGGGGGTTTTTTTTTGGGGGGCGTGTCGCCAGACAGACAGAGACAGAGAGACAGAAAGCAAGAAATCACCCCCCAGGGGAGATGGCCACGCTGCAATCCCTTCTCCTCCATTCTCCTCTCGGGATCTTGGGCACGCACGCACACGCGCCCGGCGTGAGTTTAAGTCACCGGGTCCGGGACTCGAACCGCGGTCGGCTACATGGGAGTCCAGCGACATAGCCTTTACGCCAACTGCTGGTCCCAGAGGGAGAAAGCTTTGTTAAGCCAGGCGGTGGTACAGGGATAACTCCACTGGACTCACATGACAAAGGTCCTGGGCTTGTCCCCTGAGATCTCCATGCAGGGCTCCCATGCACACACCTGTGATCCTTTGTGGGGGTGGATCGTGGCACCGGGTGGTGCCTCTAATAAACTAACAAATAGATTCAGGGGCCTGCTAGCAATGCGGGTAAGGTGGCTGGATCCCACGTGGCTGACTGTGTGGTTCAAGCCCTGAATCTGGAAGCTTAAAAAAAAAACCAGGGAAGGCCTGCAAGGGGGCCCAACATTCTGAGAGGAGAATGGAGGAGAAGGGACTGTGGTGTGGCCATCCTGCCAAGGGCAGTGATTTCTCCCTGTCCCTCGCTGTCTCTCTCTCCCTAGTGAGGACATGTGTCTTCCGGCAATGAAGAAAATAATTTAAGTAACCCAGTTATGAGGCATGGTGGTCAAGGCTGCTGGATCCCACAGACTCAGTTCAAGTCCTGGACCCGGCAGCTTGAAAAACATGCCAAGGGAGACCAGCAGTTAGCGTCATGGCTATGTCGCTGGACTCCCACGTAGTCGACCGCGGTTCGTGTCCCGGACCCGGTGGCTTAAAACTCACGCCAGGCGCATGTGCGTGCGT